GTCCAACAACTTGAATGATTAACGTCTTTGTCCAACAACTTGCATTTTCTCCAAGCCACGTGATAACAGCATGTGAGATGAAATACTTGACAGTTATAATTGGTGGGATTACAATGGGAATGCAGACATGTTTCAGACGTAAATAAGAAAATTGAGGCCTATCCACAAACTCGCCAATTCCTCTGCCTAAACCGGAAAAATAAATATATTTATTTTTGGATTAAAAAATTCTTTAATTATTATTTATTAATTTCTATCCAAAATTAAAATTTACTTAAATAAATATATAATTTAGTAAAAAGTGACTAACAAACTTTAAAAAAATATAAAAATTATTAAAAAAATATTAAGCTTTTACAAATTTTTTTTTTTTAAACATGAAGAATTATGAAGGAATATCATGTTTTTTAAGTGATTAGTGAAAACCAAACTTCTAAATTAAAATATGAGAACAAATCACTATAGTTAAAAACCTAGTTCAAGCTTTTTACAAATTTCAATATAGCAGTAAGTATAAATTAATATTTGATTGGATCCTTAGATATAATTTTATATATTTTCTCGGACAGACTTATTAATTGAGTGTTGCAAAATTGCTATCAGTTCCCCCGTATCACACGAGTGGAATATTTCGTTGGTTTAGTGGTTGTTGGCCCATCCATTCTCTTTCTTCTCCCCTGCTGTTTCTCTTTCTTTTGATCCTTTTATTTTTAAATATGTGACTCGTCCTACCTTGAAATTATTTACAAAATTAGAACCTTCATTGGTGTAATTTTGCCTACTTTCATTCATATTATAAAAAATATTGAATTGATAATTTAAATAATTTAATAATAATAATTTTTTATAAAAATAAAAAATTGATATCATTACACATTAAATTTTTTTTTAATTTCCCACACTTAACAGGTTGCTTGGAAGAACTTAAAAAAAAATTCGTTCATCTTTTAATTTAATAAAAATTATTAACATTAAACTTTAGTTATTTTTAACTTATAAATTTATTTTATTTTTATAATTGCAAAAGTAAAAATAATTACTACTAACAAAACATGACATTTGTTGCTAAAAAATAACCAAAGACATGTAACAACTTCAATCCCTTAATTTTAAACTGATTAAACTCATTTTCAATTTCATATTAAGTTAAAATTTCAATTTAATTCTTCTATAAAATTTTTTTTTTAATCTATTTATTTAATTTTTTTTAATCTCTAAAATTTAAAATGACCTTTTCTAATCCCTCCTCCCACGCCACCAAGTATTGACAAATGACAGAAAATGCCGGCCAGCCGCCAGGACAACGGATGGCAAACAATGAAATGGTTGATTGGTAGGCGAGGCGCATGAATCAGAATTAAATGAATGAAATGAAACATGTTCCTATGGCTTTATCTTTCTTCTTAAAAAGTGAAGAGTAATGATGAAGTGTTGATGAATGTTACTAAACGATTTTTTATTTAATTAATATATATTTTTATTTTTTTATTATATATATTTTCTTTTTTTATTATCACTTGAAAGTAATATTTAATAATAAAAAATAAGTAAATAACACGTGTAATCACATATATAGGCTGTCGCATCTCCCTATTCGTCTGGTACCATGGATCATTCTTTGTCATCCCAAGTCCCAACAATAAATCGTAGCCACAAGTTCGTCACGGCTAACTGGCCATGTCTTCCAAGTTCCAACTATCCAAGCCATTATCATATCTGTACCTTCCCCACCAACTACATGTCCAAAAGTTATTTTTTTTATTCAAATTGCTGATATTTTGACCTCAGTTCGGCCTAGTCTGTTGACGCGTGAAACCGCTGATTACTGTTTCATTTTTTTAATGTATATTGCAGTTGTTTAACGGGAATGATGCACTTCTTTATACCTTCCAAGCCATGAGCATTTTTGTACCTTCCCCGCCAACTACATCTCCAAAAGTTTTTTTTTTATTCAAATTGCTGATATTTTGATCATTTATGTACTTGTATGTTAAATGATATAAATTTAAAATTTTTTATTTTTAATAAAAAATTATTATTAAATTATTTAAATTATTGATTTTAATCTCTTAATTTTAAATTGGTGAAAC